TTAACAGATATGATTGATATGAGTGAGCGATAATTACTTAAGTTAAACTAATTTACTAATTACTTACTTACGCCTGTTACTCCCAGTGGAGCATAAACGACCGACCAACATTCTCCAACCTACTCTGTCCTGGACCTTCCTTTCTAGTTCTATGCAATTTTTGTTCATCCTTTTCATGTGTGTCACTATTTTTAGGAGTAACGTGTTCTTTGGTCTTCCTCTCCTCCTTTGGCTTCGAGGATTCCATGTGAGGGCTTGCCTTGTGACATAGTTCGGTGCTTTCCTCAACGTGTGTCTTATCCTCTTCCAGCGCTTCTTCCTGATTTCTTCCTCCGCTGGAATCCGGTTTGTTCTCTCTCACCTATTGTGGGAGAGAAACCTCGAACTGAAAACCAGAATAAGTAGCTAATGAAAGAAGTCATTCTATGTGACAAAGAACACATTTTAATGGAAAACATTCAAAGTAAAACTAAAAATAATTAAAATTCATTCAAACTTTCGACAAATGTATGGTTTGAATTTACGCAAGTCATTTATTAAATAATGAAATTGGAACATGTTTATTACGGTTTATTCTTGACATCTAAACCAGATTAAGACATTTATTTCTGCAATCTATCTGAATTAAATTGAAATTTATTTATTTCACAATTTTATTTTGAAAGATAATCAATACTCAACTAACTGGTTTGCCACTATGATCTATCTCTCTTGCTTTCTTAATCTGATTAAAAAATATATTCCGTTTGTTCCAATACTCTGACATCTTGTTTCAATTACTTCAACGTCAGTTGAAATACAGGGAAATCATGTAATATCGGTCAAGTAGATGGGAATAAGTTCTATGCTGACTTTATTATTATTTTTCCCCTTTTTCGCTAATCAGATATAACATTTGATTAAAATTAACGAATTCAAAAAAGAAGTTATCATACGAACACATAGTGTTCAAAATGCTAAGACGAAGAATATTCACGTTATTCATATACTCTCTATGCAAAAAAGTTGATCTTAATCTGTAACAATTTCATTTAATCAGGTTGAACTCTTGTTTTTCCCTCAAACATAAACTTAATTAAATGAAGTTCCAAAAATCGTAAGTTTTCTTCAATAATTTACGAAAAAATTTTGTTGAAGTTTGAATGAATAGTTTAACAGAAATTGGGTACTGAGTATGCGGAAGAAACAATCCGTAAAAATAATAATTAAAATTAATTAATTCCAAAAAGCTTGAACTTCAGAAAAATAATCAGAATTATAAAAAAAAAGAAATTTCGTATTCAATAACCAAATCACAGTAAAACCCTGTGTAATAATGCTTAATTATGTGTTTAAGGTCATAGGACAATTCGACACAATTGTTCACAACATGAAAATTGCATGAGTATACTATAGCTGATCTGTTTGTTATTGTTATTAAAGAAAAACGGTGAGACTAACTGTATTTGCATATTTTAAAACTTCGTACATGTAAATGAAATAATTTAGTCGAAGTATGTGTATAATTAAATCATTCATATAATTGCGATGTTAAACTATCGGCAAGTAAATACAAACCCGAATGCGATGACGAAATACGGGCTCACTTTCGAGGGATCGTGCTTGAGATGATGAAGACAGGCTGGACGTGCAGTTCCACATACATATTTCTGAATAAACAGTTGCCACGAGACATCAATCCACTGCTAATGTTGTTGTAGTCAGGTGGTACATACAGTGCCTTTACTGTGTATCTGACTTAGTACACACAAAATCATTTCTGATAGATCGTGCTCAGTTCAAAGTCCATTTTTCCCCTGAATCTATTGAGTATAGTGTAATTCAAGAACCATTCTCAAGATTCTTTGTCATTACGACAAGAGTATCATCCTACATAATGCACCACGTTAAATGCAGCAGCCCCTGAGATTTGTAGAGACCTGAGAGATTTGAACTTCGATTCCATTGGCTTCCATATCTATGAACTATTTTGGTAAGCCACTGCACTACATTCATGGTTGTGATGAGCGTTTCCACAAACTGAAATCTAATATCTTTGGAAGATATAAACGCTGGACAACTGCATATTGATGAAGCACTGGGCGAGACAGCTTTGTGAATTTACTACACTTGCTTCGTTCTCTGAGGACTATCAGGATTTCTTCTGTCGGCTTTACGACCAATTCTACAGCACACGAGCTTGGAGTACGGTTTCCGATTCCGATGGAACTAAAAATCACAAATGGCACAATTGCACCAGCTAGAATTCTCTTACTGTATTCTTAAGTGCTTCAAGTGACAGCAACGTTATTAGAAACTTAATAAATCTGCTGTGATTGTAATCATGTTCGAACTAGAAATTGAAGTGGTAATGGTGTGTTTAGTCGAGCTCATCGCTATCAAAGTGTTCGTCATGGTACAAATTATATGATTTTATACCAATATTAAATCAATAAGAGGTAGTAAAATCCTTTTTATAGCTAATATTACTATTGTAGTTATCATTACCAAGGTCAGTGCGGTCAAGGTGAATTATGTAAGACTTGAATTTGTATTTGTGTATTAATGGGTATAAAATGTAACATTTCTATTGCAAAAAGATAAGGTTAAATTTATATGCATGGTAATAGTGTGATATGTGAATGGAATCGACATGATAGCTCGGACAGAAAGTTCAAGTCGGATGGATAGCAATGCTCTCTTTTCTATGAAGAGCTATTTAATGTTCTATTGTACCATGGCGGTATGGTAAAATTACGGTACTAATCCATGATATTTCATTTGAATCATTATCTAGCAGTTAATAGTCTCATTTTATTGCGTTTTCTTTATTGTATTCCTTAAAAAATTATTAAATTGTAAGACTTTATTTAATTGATTCAGTTGCTCTTGTTTATCCTCTAAATATGTAATAATTTTTTTTGCTCTTCTAAAGGGACTTAGGGCTAGAGAAATTTCTTAACTGAATAGATGTAATAAATTGAAATCAGTATAACGATTCTAGTGTCGGTTTCCAGTATACATTTAGAGCTCCATTTAGCTTTTTTAAACTAAGTAGTCTAAAAATGATAGCTTACTGTGTTCATTCTCATCCTCGAAAGTAAATTGAATGTGGGGTCAGAATCTATTGACCAGTTTAGAAGAAGTTCGTAGGAGATTCTATGTCATGACGACAAAAGTACCATCCAACTATGTGAGCCAAATTCGCGGTTGAATGCCATTGACGAAATTATTTGATTCTATATGTGGCATAAACGGGTTGGCAATGACCATTGACACGCATGATCTCATTTCCAACAAGAACAGGTTTAAAGAGAGCAAGAGGAAAAGTGTGAAAACATTTTCCTTAGTGTCTGGTTGGGTGAGAATATGGAAGTCAAACCACAGCCGTTTTAATGTTACTCTTGTCTTTATACGCCCAAAATCCTTTCTGATAGATCGTGATTAGTTCAAAGTTCATTTTTCCCCTGTTTCTATTGAGTGTAGTGCTATTCAACATCTATTCTCAAGATTCTTATGGTTAACTGACAATTTAAGAACATGCTTCAAGCATTGTTTGTGTTCTTTCAACTTCATAGTCAGACAACTAAACGTTTCCCCTCATTACCTCATCACATTCATGACAATTAATTTCATAGACAAAGTTCTATTGTTCTCCATTCGATAACTTATTCTCAACTTTGACCAATGCCAATTTGATGGTATGAGTTGCTCAGAAATGAACCCTAATATCATACGTATTTAGAATCCTTTTATTTTATCTGGTGCTTCTTCACGCTTCGGGATGACAACAACGTTTTTCTCCGTTTCAGCGTAAGCCGTTTAAGCTTGTTTTTCTTTCATTTTGGAGTTTTTTTATACTCCACGGCTAAGATCATTTCAAATATCATTTTTATACATTACGTTTTCTTCAAAATGGTTCCTAAACAGTTTTACGCACCGATTTAAGAATGTTCAAGATTCGAATCCGTTTTTCTAAATTTTTTTAAAAGTATGAAGACGTTTGAACTTATGAACAAATGGAAACGTAAGTTCTTGTGATACATTGATCCGAAATCACAAATTTTTGTTTGTCAACTGAATTTCATTATAAATATCAGTTACGCAGCAAATGAATAATTCCATAGGCCTGTTTCGCTTTCCGACAAATTAAAATAAATCAACACGAAAGAGATTATTTTGAATCAATAATCCATTTAGTGTACTTTGGTGGTTTCTTTAAATATGGATACAACATAATATATTTACCCGAATTCATAAATAATTAAATACCGAAACTATCACAGGGTTTGAATGGATGGATAGAATAATTTATAAATGAATGTTATTCCAAATATAATTAAAGTTTTTAATTATTAAATAAAAGGGATCGCATAATTAGCTCTTACAATTTGTAAAATCCAAAGGGCTATTAAGACCATGAGAGAATAAAGGTTTGAACATGATTCTTCTGTAGATAGAGATCGGGTTTGAAATGATGAATTATTATAGCCTTAGTTGTGCACGAATCGCTTATCCAAACTTTTTTTCAGCCAGTCACAGATTAAGAACATAATTCCCCGCCAATAAATTTCCAATTACATCTTTATAGACATGTAAAGCAGTTTGAATAAGAACGTTTAAGCTGAGTTTTCAGCTGGAATACTAAATCAACATATATTAGCATTTAATATAACGTGATGCATTAGAAGATATTAGAACAAATACAGTTGGACTGAACTTACTTAGTTCTGATAACAGTCAAAACATAAAGAATTTAATGACATCTCTACTACCAAAGCATTTAAACGTGAATGATTGACTTTTCGAATAAAAAGTTTACATTTCGGCCTCCTTGTTTTGACGGTTTTCATGGTTTTCATAATACTATTTACTGACTCTGCCAAAATTTTTTAGAGTAACATACTCTAAAACTTTAGATCACGATGGGAATTAAGCAAAACGGAACATAAAAATTTAGCAACTTAAGTATTTTCTATTGTAAATGATTCTCAATTAGTTTTACTTTTCTTTATTGACAGGTCGTGCGCTACGAATACTGCGATTAGCAAAACTCCTGAGTTTATTAAGGCTTCTACGTCTTTCGCGTCTAGTTCGTTATATAACACAGTGGGAAGAAGTAAGTGTCGCCAGCCAAGTCTCTTCAGTTTCATTACTGAACAGAATTCTGTAGATAATCGACCCCTTCTAAAACTTCCAAAACCTTTTTATTTTTCAACAAACAATCTTACATCTAGTGCATTTTTTTATAAAACCGTTTAGTTAAACACATCATTTTCAAGATAAGTTTATTCAAAATTTGATCAAGTTGATCAAGCCTCAAAAACCGATGTGTACTACACAGATTTTATATCGTACTTTGATACCATTTAAAAGTTAACACACAAGACTTCATTGTGGATCAAACATATAATTACAAAGTTTAAAAGAAACCTTGATATCCATGGATGGCTGAATGTCAAACCAACAGTCTTCATTTCTTAGTTACATTATGATATGCATGTGACTATCATTCGATTGTTGATATCTGTTTCACGTTATAGATATGTGCAACTAGTTACTGCTTTTCATCAGAACTTCAGGAATTTTTTTCGAAACTTGCCACCGATATATCCATGATAATTAGTAAGAAAGAGATTTTTTGGATACAACACAAAATCCTCTAGCTGGTTCCCGATTATAAAATACTAATTTCATATTTCCCATTGTATTAATAATGTCCTTTCTATAGTACTTTAATACTCATTGATCAAATGTGCATCCATTTACTCGGGCATTGTACATAGTCAATCTATGAAAGCACTCAGAATTTTATTTAACTAGCATAGTAAGAGTTATTCTATTTTATAGAAGCAATCAAACTCATGTTTTAAATAGTTCAGAATATTTACGTACTTAATTGTAAGTTACTAAGTTGATAAGAAAAATCGATTTCAGTTATTAAGTGATTATTTGAAGTCTAAACTACGTTTTATTTATACATCAAAGTGTTTTGTATTACATGATTGATAACGACACAAACACTTCAATGGTAACTTCTTTCATTAGAAAGTTTCAGTGAATTTAGATAATATAGATATATTGTCGAAATTATAAGTAAATTGTATTGACTAATACCCAAATTAGAATTGAATCCTTCACTGGTGATACTACCATAACATGTATTCTTTAGCATGAAATGCCATAGTTTTCTCACTAGATATATCTCATTAATATTTATGGTAGCGTCAATTTATGTATGGTAGTGACGAGTTTTAAATGGGATTAAAAGAACGAATCAGAATCTCGCTTCTAACTACATACAAAATGCACTAAAACTTGTGGCATAACTCTAAGTAAGCTACTCAGGATTCATATATGGTAACTGAGACTGATCAATTACAGTTTTTAATATCAACTACAGGAAATCGTGAATCTGTACTAATAAATACTAATATATTTCAATAATTTAGAACTTAGTATTTTCGATAAACAGCTTTCGAAAATAAAATATCAACTTTCATCATTTTCGAATCTAGTTTACTCATAATTTCATAAAATACATTACTCCATGCTTAATAAATAACTGAATCTACTTACTGAGATAGTTAAATATATTGTAAATATATTTTTTACTCACTTTGTTGTGCTAATAACCATAACCGTAAATATATATAACAAACTAAACTACTCAGCTATTCAACTAACTCCTAATGAAATAGAATTTTAGTAAATTAAGTAATTTCACACAAATGTAATGCTGAAATTATAATAATCTATTTATAATTTACATAATGATGATCAGTGTGCTTGGTTCGTTACCGTATTGAATATTCGTCTAGCTACTTACAACGATATCACTTGATTTTGGATAATTCTTTGCTCAAGTAACTATTTATTTCACCACAACAATTATTCTGTACACAAAAGTTGTCGTTTTAATTTATCTCAAACATCTATACCAAGTGACATAATAATTAAACATGATCATGAATACAATGCTCAGTTCACACATCTTTGTTAATGATGAAAGAATGATCAGAGAAATTCTCAACGGACTTTGAATTAGGGAATAATGAAATAATTCGAATTGTATTTCTCAGGTTTCGTTTTCAGTCCTAATAAATTAATCAAACAACTTCTGTAAATCCCCACTATGTTTACACAAAATTATGAGTTTTCCATAAAGCATCATGTATATTAATTTCTTACGTGAAAAATATCATTTTCATATATTTTCTCATTTATTTGAGTTTATCAATATTGCAAGCAAATTTATGGGAATATGTAATTTAGTACTAATTATGCTAATATTGGGCCATTGGAATGCATGCTTACAATTTCTTGTACCAATGTTGATGGATTTTCCAATAGACAGTTGGGTCAGTAAAGCACGATTACAAGTAAGTGATAAAATAAAATCTTGTTGATTTGTTAACGGCAAGTATGAGTTGTACAGTTTATAATCAACTTACTTAAAACAGGTTGTATTCAAAAATAAAGTGGTAAATAGTCCCCATGATAAAGTACTTTTATATTATCATATTTATGGTTAAAATCTAGGATGTAGACTTCAGTAATTCGATCATATCATTAGAGTGGAGATTTTAGTAAGGTAGAACTTCGAGAACGTATGAATCATAATTTCACCAGAAAGCTATCTATGGTTTTGTGAAGTTAATGTATTTGCTTTTCTTAATATGAAGTATATGCTTTAATGAATCGTTGACCAACTTACAACATTCACCTTACTTCTTCCTATCTTATGAAATATTATAATTACCACGAAGTATTTTCTAAATCAATAACCACCGTAAAGTTTGAAGGGCAGTTACCTTATGAACATTAGATAAAATGTAAGATACATAACAAATTATTGTCTCCAAGATTTGTAACCGTTGAAAATATGAATGATATGGATAATCACTGTGTAATTATGTTTATAAGGACCCTTCAAATAAGTGATGTAAGCAACACAGATAGACATAAACTGGTCTACTAGTAGTCAGAATAACACAAGATGGCATGAAAAGTATAGTCATTAAAAAGAATGAACTTGAATTTGAAAAAAACTAAAAGTCAGGAAATAAGACTAGATGGCAATTATCGAGCTTACTTATTCTCAAAGTACAACTTGGGTACCTATGACCACTAATCGTCAACCTTTAATTTTTTTTAATTTTTAGAATGCTCATTGGTTTGAACAATATACATGGGCTTTGTTTAAAGCACTATCACATATGCTGTCGATTGGTTATGGGCGTTATCCTCCAAGTACATTGCCAGAAGCATGGATTACTATTATAAGTATGATGACAGGTGCTACATGTTACGCTCTATTTGTTGGTCATGCAGCAGCACTGATACAATCATTTGATGCATCTAAACGTAAATATCGAGAGATGGTAGGTTTCACAAAAATTGATAAATTTTATCGTTGATATAGGTATAAAATACTATGTAAACTGTTTAACAATCCCCATCATATTAAAATGCAACTATATGGATGAAGAATACACTTTCATTCTCAACAATTGTATATCCGAATTATTAATCCAAAATGTGGCCAGGTTCAGGGAAAATCACATCATTTAAAATTACAGCATGTGAATTCAGGATTGTTCGAAAAATAACTTAAAATTGGTAATGTGTAGATGACTAATATACTATGTTGACTTGAATAAGCGTATATGTTAAGTGAAATTATGATAGTAATAATCAGAATAAATATTGGCCAAATAGGTTTACAGCAAACGCACTGTATATGTGGGCTGCTCAGAATAGCCTAAAGAGAAAAAGTGAAATAAAATTAACCACCACTTGGTAAGTGATAATAAATAATCTAATTCTGTGTCTATTTACATTGTTTGTGTTACTCGTAGCATCTTATCATCGAAAATTCTTTTGTAATATTCAGCATTTCGATCTACTCAAGAAACACTTCGACGATCTAAAAAGTTTTAATTTGTGCAATTAGTTTTCAATAAACCAAGCGAATAATACATCCTTGATGGTAGAAAAAGACATCATTTACTCGCTAAGTTTTAATTAATTAATAATCATAATATATATGCACACACATACACCCATTCTTTTTCCTGTCATAAGTATTTAATTAAATCACTAGAATATGTTGTTTTTAGTTTTATAAGTCTTCTTCACCATCTCAAGCTAAATATTTTCCTACTTATGATACACCTAAACAAAAAACTGTAAAACAAACATTTTGATCTTACTGGTTACATAATTCTCTCTCTATCTCAGTAGTTCAGACTATCTATAAAACTTGTTAAAATATTTTATATTCAACAAATATTATATTTATCAAAACGTCCACTAGTATTTCCTTGATAAATTCTTATCGTGAAACCATAAAATTGGCGGAATTCATTTTCCTGAAGCATGCCATTTACTTTAGACAGCCTGAGCTTAACGCTATTGTTTTCAGTTCAACTTAGTTAAAGTGTAAATCAAGTAAAATGTTTCTGTTATCAAAACAATTTATTGTGATGCCTTTTTTAATATTCACTTTATTAGAAAAGGTTTAGTTTGGATTTGTAGTAAAGTATATTTTTTCTCATTTTTAAGAAAATATATGAAAGTTTTTGAGCGACGGAGTAAACTGAAATACTTAGTAATCTAATTTTATAACCAGATTGATGAATACTTGTTTAGAACTTACTCAGTGCTAAAGATCAGAAGATACAAAATTGATGGTAATTCGGTGATCGGTTTCCGTAGTTAATCCAGTCTTACAAAGACTTGATAGAGGCTAAAATAACTTGAAAATGGTGAACATTAGTGCACTATTGTGTATTAGTAATCTGAATTTATTAGGCTACAATTTTTTGTCCTTATTTCTTAGGAGAATCAGGAAGTCAAGGTATTGAGAACTTTGGCTCATTATATCAGTTTGTGATATTTTAACTGATAAAGACATTCAAAAAAATTCTAAACTGAACTATATTTGAATGTGATAGACTTATTTAAAGGATTCTAGTTTGAAGATAAAAATATCGTCAGATTTCGAAATGTAACACTTAATACTGTATTAAGCTACATTTACCACTCTAACCACTAGTGCTATGACAATTGGTTACTAGAAAATAAGAAGAAAATATCATCTAGAATAGTAAGCTCTTCTAATTCATCATTAGAACGTAACACTAATCAATTTTTTGGATAAAGTAATCGTTATTTTATTTTCAGTCAAAATAGCAAAATGGTAAATCGTTCCGTAGAAAAAAAGTAAACTAATATAAAGGAGAATTTCGTGACTAGAATCATTTATTTTAAAAAGTAAATTGTTGCATTTGTAAGAACAAAGGTTCTACTTTTCATAATTCATTGAAGGTTAAATCTTGGTATTTCTAAATTATTCATTTATGTAAAATCAGTAATAGGAGTAGGATGTAGGGAGATTACCTGAATTTACCCTTCCGTGTTATTCTGCTTTTACTTTGACGGTAAGTTTATATGAACTAACTTTGTATCTAAAGCAGCAAATGCTGTATTTTTTAGGTGAAACTCAGACCCTGTAAAATTTCAAATGAAAAAACAACTCGAAATTTGATATACATTTGTGCAATTTCATTCTCACTATTCATTAATTACTAATTTATTTTATACGACATATATATATATATATATATATATATATATATATATATATATATATACAAGATATTTATATATCAAGACGAAATCATGATTACATAAAAGTATATAAATAAGTGTAACTGATGAAACGAAAAGAAATAAGGGGAAGTACGAAACTTAAGTGAGTATATAATTTCGTGATATATGAACGAAAAATATTCCTTCCAGGAACTTCTTTTTAAGTTGTACAATTATGTATTCAAATTAATAATTCCAAAACTCGCCAGGCTTAAGACCCCCAAACGGCATAAGCAGTAACCCCTCGCTTACCTTGGCTAACTTCAAGGCCAACAAATCAGTAGTAATATTAACCATACACTGGCCTGATTTGGCTAATGCATATGCAACCTATCTTATTCAAATATTATTGTCTTTATATTTTGATTCACATATTACTGTATTATTATTGGTTCAACATCACTTTTACTTTCCCGAGCACATGATTAATTCACTTAGCCCTCACTCTACTTTATTATTTCTTATTGGATATATGTATGTCTATACATAATTCAGCATTCCACTAAACATATGATCGAATGTGAAATGACATTATTGCTGAAGAGTCCCACACTGGCACGAAACGCCCGTCCAGTGTTTCCAGGTTCTGATTGGTGGTCTACCCTTAATCGGCTCATGTTTTTAATGAAATTCAACACCGTCCACATCCTCATACTGAAAACTGAATTATTATTTCTCTCGCCCGGTCTTACTGATTGACACTGAACCGATTATAGTATTCACTTGGTACACCTAAAAATAAATTTTGAGGGTATGACGATAAATATTATAGAAATTGATTGGTTAAACTATCATTGAAGTGTGTTCAATCTGCCCGTGGCTAAATGTTTTATTCACTAAAATAATTATTTAATTGGTTGAAAATAATTTCTATATAAGAACTGATTAGTTTAATTTTATGAGAAGCATTTGTTTTTTATTGAATGTGAAATTTTTATGAAATTTATGATTTGAAAATTATTTATACTAAACTTTTCTGAAAATCATTTCACTGATGTTGATCAATAAATTTTCTTAAGCTACTTCACATCGATACATAATGAATTGAGGTCACAGTGTTAATGTGATAACTATCTACAAACCAAATATTGTTGTTATACTATACATTATATGAAAACTATAGTAAAATGATAGATATCGATCAGTAAATTATTAATGTCGTTAAAGAAAATCATGGAGAGTATAACATGTGAAATGATTTGGATAACAAATCTAATAGAACTAGTGTAATTTGTCGTTAACTGTGTTCCTGTAATGATCAGTCCATCGAATCGTTAAACAGATCATTTATGAATTGTATTTATAGAACAAAATGCGAACCAATATTTCTTCCGTATGAGAAACGGTTAAAGCTCAGAACTCAGTACTTTATTAAATGATATGAAATTAGTGAATCATGTCAAGTGATAAACGTTCATTGTGGCACATCATAATTTAGTGAGCACAATGCAGCCACCTAGAAACCATTACGTCATGTGGATAATGATAACCACCGAAAAGCTTAGGTTCATGAACAAAGTCCAAAAACCTAGATAATTTATATTAATAAAATAAACCATAAGACTAAATTTCTATATAGTTGAGCAGTACCCATCACAATGTTAACATTTTTAATGTCATTTGAAAATGGCTGACCAAACAGTTCATGATAATAATTTTGTCACCTTGTCAAAATAATCTAGTACGTCACAGAAATTAAAGTAACTAACTAAAAATTTCAAATAAGTAAAGAAACTAGATAAGAATTTATCTAAAATAATGCTTTTGGTTGACAAATCTGGTTTAGGAAATATCCACAGAACGCTTAACCTTTTTCGTAATCTAAAAATATTGTAGCTAATATTGTAAAGCTTATGGATGTTCAGTGAATGAACTTTGTAAATTTTCCTTGCTTTACCACATTTATTCAACGAGAATGAAACACCAGCTGACTACACGCTTAATTTTCATCAATCAATTATTTCTTCAAACGGCTACGTTTAACAACGAACATTCGTTAGGACTTGAAACCTAAAAAGGTAATGTTAGTAGAGTTGTAAAGTTATTCTGGGTGTACTTATAGGTCGTTATCCTCTTTCTTAGTAAGGTTGAAACCAGTAAGTTCATAGTTAACTCTAATGCTGAATAAAGTATGTTATTGCCAACAGTGAACAAAAATATTTATGGGCAGGTACAGTGTTGTCGTATTAAAATAAATGGGAAGTTTTATGAGAATGTTCACAACTAGGATCGTTATCTTTATTTTCAAAAATAATCTGAGAGCAAAACTTTCTTTCGAAACTTTATATGCTGTGTCGTATTAAATCTTTAAAACATTTTGATCGAAATCAGTTTTGAATACCCACTAACCTAAATGAAAAATTATGGTGACTTCAAAGCTCTGTTAATTCTCTATATTTTGTCATGGTATATGTTCTTTATCAGCAGCGAAACTAAATTATATGTTATTATGATGACATAGAAAAACATGCATTAAATTTCGTATAGAAACCTAGAATTTGTAAATCAGTGTAACATAGTATTATATTTTTTGCAACAATAATAATAACCATCAGTTAAATAGTACGCAAAATAATTTCACATAAATTTATTACCGAATAAATACTAAGTGAACAAATTAAATTCTCGAATATATGTTTACACATATATTTGAAACTCCAAATGAGCAGTTAATTTAACATCAGCCAATGACCTGGATTTTCAAGCACTAACATGGATTAAAAGGAAT